ATATATATATATATATACTCGTATATACATCTTAAAAATATATATTTACAAAATCTAAATACACACACATGTAAAAAACTATACAAATTTTACTTAAGATTTTTTCATATGACTTATTTCCAATGACAATTACTTATGTATATGAGCATGTATAGCATATATACGGAAGCGTTAATAATTAACTCTCGAAAATGATATGTCGTAATGTATTGTAACTTTATTATGCATGGCTAAATTTGTAAAAAAATAATCTTTAATTTGATAAAAAAAATTGAAATTTTAAAAAAATTACGGGTAGTGGGGATATTTTCTTAAACAAAAAAATAAAAAAAATTTTTTTTAAACTTTAAAGTATTCTTAAAGCCGTACAATTTTTATTAAAAAAATTTTTTTCTATTTTTTATACTTTCGATGATATTCGGCTCGAAAAAAAATACTGTTTTTCTTTTAAAGGGGTGTTTCACCCCTTACATGAGTTAGCGCACGTATAAAAAAATACGTGTCTCTTAAATTTTCGTTTTTTACAACATATTTCATGGAGAATTAAATCGGTTCCGGAAGTTTGTAAAACTTCCCTTGTTACTATAGACGAATACAGCGTGTAGAAACATCGATGCGATGAATTTATAAAATCATTGAAGGAGCAGAGCCGTATCAAACGCTTGCGATTATCGATTGGTAATAAACAATCACTGTTCGCGGTTTGAGAGTCGGAAGGAATCTGTGCATGGAAGATTGTGCATGTGGGCGCTGGGTACGGATTCCGTTGGCGCGTCGTCGAAATAGCGTTCGAAAGCCGTATTCTGATGGGTATGGTGATAAACTCTAAACATATCTTGTCGATTGTTCAAAGATGCGAGCGAAATTATGCTCGAGCATATGCATAGTGTAACGATTCTATAAAAATTAACACTGTTTTCAATAGCGAGTTAGTAGTGAGTGATAAACGCGCAAACAAAAGTATCGCCACCCGGAACTATGAACTATGTCAATGCACCGATTTGCGATATGTGTCGTCGAGCCTATCCTAGCATCGTTGGGAGTTTCAGAAACGCGATAGCGGATGGACATTGTTGCGGATACTAAATTTAACACTGAACGCGAACAAGCACTATCTTCTGCGCATGAGATGTCATATCGAATTCCCGCGAGAAATTATGCTAAAGAGAATTGCAATCAACGTGCAAACCACGGACAATGCGTGTTTCGTATGATTTGTTGTTGCCGCTCTACACCCGGCTCAAAAACATGTGAAACGGGAATCCTCGTATCCGCATTATACGTCGGTTCTAAATCTCGCGGTCATCGAATTTTCAATGATGTTGAATCAAATTAAGAAATTTGAAACTTTGAATGACATTTCCATCAACGTCTACATCGATGAGAAGGAGATTGTGCTGATTTGACTCGCCGATCGAAAAAGGAGCAAACACGTAAACCTCTTATATGAGGTCTGTTCAAAAAGTGCGAATTTTGAATTTCCGCGGGTTACGTATATTCGATTTTCGATTTTTTTGTGGCGTTATGTTGGTATTCATGTCTCTCACTTATGCCGACAAGTTCGGCCATTTTGAATGTTCAATTAATTTTTGACAGTTGCTTTGCTTGTACGTGTTTTGGCTCGTCTTCGATTTTTGCCTATTCCAAAAAATGGATCAAAGAATCTGTATCCAATTTTGTGTGAAAAACAAAATTAAGTGCGCGGACGCATTCCGAATGTTGACTGTGGCATATGGTGAAGCTACCTTGGACCGAAGCAACGTTTATCGGTGGTACAAAATGTTCTCAGAGGGCCGAGAAGATGTGAACGACGATGAGCGT